TAAGAAATTAAGTTTTTTCTTTAAATAACTTCCAAATTTGAAAAAAAAAAAGTTTTTATTTTCTAAAATTACCAATTTTACGTGACTTTATTTTAGCGGCGAATGTTTACATTTCAGGAGGGGCAAAACATATTCTTCGCCCCCTCGCTTAAATTTCAGAGTTCGACGGTTCCCTCCGCCCCCCCCCCCCTACTCGGTTGGCACGCCAGGAAGTGGAGGCTATAGCAGACAAGTATAAACTGAATAATAGCTTTTATTTTCTTTCTAATAATGATTGTCAGCCCCAGGGACGTAGGTAAGAGGGGTGTTCAGGGTGTTCAAACACCCCCCATTGTACAGAGAAATGTTTCTTTTTTTTTAATACTATAAATAATTTTTCCTTAATTTTACAAAATTTTTAAATATTTTATTTACTGGGAAAAAAATGGAGAATTCCCATGACATTCTATTTCGAGGCTTTTATTAGTCAGTAACAGAAATAAAATAATCACTGCTGCCTCTTTGCTACCCATTCATCAAGAGAGCAACAAACGCTTATCTTCAGTGATTAAATTAGATGGCATCCCTTTCCTCTTGATTTACCACCCACAAAACTTCTCCCCTCAGAAAAGTAGAAAGCTGAAGTTATTGAAAAATGGAAACCTAAATTAAAAGTGGTGAAACGTGGTGGTAAGTATACTTACCACGGCCTTCAGAAGGATTAAATAGGGATGAACAAAAAACGAAATGGAACTTTCTGATTGGTGAAGCGTTAATCATTGTTTTAAATTTTACTATAAGCGATTCAATTTTTTTTCATATTTTAAAAACAACATCAGTGATAATTTCTAACTTGTAGCTCTATTTGCGAACAAAATAATAGTTTATTGCTCACATTTAAATATTTAATTATTTTATATTCGCTGTGTCAGATAAATTCAATAAAGAACATTACGTGGTAGCAGGTGTGGTTCACGTCAACTAATTTATCTATATTATATAAAACGCTAATACGTACGTATGTATCAATAAAACCGATGATATTTCTTTTCTCGCGTCGGCAACAGTTTTCATTTTTAATTGCTAGGTTTCGGCGCGCAAGAGCACGTATTGAGCATCATATGGCTAATCTACATTATATAAAACGCTAATACGTTTTAATTGATAGGCTTCGGGGCGCAAGAGCACGTAGTGAGCATCATATGTCTAATCGGGTGAATTCTCACCGAATTATCAAAAAGATTCTTACAAAATTATCTTCATCGAAGCCGATGCTTTACATCCGGCGTTTAGTACTATTTCATATTGTTTTACAACACATGGTTTTAGCCCTCTGGTGGGAAAGACTTTAAAACAAAACTTACAACAGTTACTTTTCTCAACAACTGAAATTTAGAATAGTGTGATTAAGAAAAATATGCGAACTGTTTGCAATTTCAAATTAATATTGAAATGCACAGGTTTAGAATTTTCTACAGTGAAAAGTTTTCGGAACTTCAGTGTTCAAAAAAGTATACAAAAGCTAGACGTTAAGAACGTATCCAATGAGCGAGCAAAGCGAGCATCGGATTGCGAAGGAATCCGAAATGAACTGCGAAAGCAGTTCCGAGGGTTGGTGAGCGCCAGCAAGCAGGGGGCAAAGCCTCCTAGTACTTTTATAGTTGTCTGATAGCACGCGCCTTTTTCCTTTCAATTCCTACTATTAGTTCACATTCTCCCCATATATATTTACACAGGTTCCACAGGTCCTGGGTTCGATCCTCAGGTCACGTTGGCTCATCCTTTCATCCCTTCAGTGGGTCGATAAATGAGCACCAAGCATGCTTGGGAACTAAACACTGGGGGTTTCGCGTTTGCCTGACCACCTAACCGAAACATCTGCTCCTGCACCCCAGAGCCCAAGGTCAAGAAAACTGAGATGGGCATAGTAGGCCTCGACCCTCTATGGGCTGTTGCGCCACTGAGTTTAGTTTAATTAAATTTAATTAATCAATTTCAGTTTTATATGCAGAGATGCCAACTGCTCCGGACACGCCAAAATAATTAAAAGAAACAGTAAATAACTACGAAGTAAATTTTGCAAATATTTGACTATTTTTGCCTGCTTTTTAAGAGGTATAGCATGACATAAGTACTATAGAGTGGTGAGTTATATAAGTGGTGAATTATATATAATGTTTTTTTTTTTACATGGAAAAACGTTAATTAAATAGCATTCAATCATTATAGCAAGAAATATTAAAAAATTTGGTTAATTTCTTCGCATTTAACTTACATATTTAATAGAACAAATAAGATGTACTTAAGTAATATATTTAAATCAAAAACATATTTTCATAACACCTTGTAAAAAAAAAGTATTTTGTTGAAAAATTCAGACAAGAAATGTTATGAATCAAATTTCTAAAAAAATTCCTTCCACAAAGACAGAGATGACAACTGCTCCGGAAACGCCAAAAAATTTTAAAAAATGGTAAATAAAATGGTAACAAGTAAATTCTGTAAATATTTGACTTTTTTTTTTGCTTGCTTTTTAAAAGGTATAGCATGACATAATTACTATAAAGTGGTGAATTATATAAGCCTACGAATTGTTTAGAAATAGTGGTGGATAAAAATCTACTAAATTGAATTCATTACACCAAGAATCACAATTGATAACTACCAGTTTAAAATATATATTTGCTGTCCGGAGCAAGTTGGTATCTCTGTACATGGGAGACATTTTTTTAATTATTTAATAAAAAGTAACGAAAATAAAATGTCTCCTTGTTGACCAAAGTAGATATTGACTTTAATTTCTTTATATATATATAACTTGTTTTTCACAATAAAACAAATTATCTTTTCTGAATTTAACGATTCAATTACTTTTTTACGTGACAAACATATTTTTTGTTCACTCTTACAGCTGCCCAACCGATCCCAGAATATTTCCCGGATTTGAGAAGATTTCCGGCTCCAAATCTCTGCAATCCCGATTCCAGGCGTTTAAGTTCTCGGAAGACCCCGTCGTGAGGTTCCAAGTGAATGTTCACTTTTGCCTTGAGGAGTGCAATCCAGTTGTCTGTCCCAGCGGAACTCAGTCCTGGGGCAAGAGAAGGAAAAGGCAAATAGAAGACAACGAGATCCCTATTGTCCCGGATTACCCATTATTCGCAGCAATTGTCGTTGAAGGGTCACTGTTTGGAAACAATTCTGGACCAACAGATGCCCAATATATCGGTAAAAAAAACTTCTATTTTCTTTTTTAGTATTTCGAAGGGTCTAACTACTATTGGTGAACCAGTAAGCGTATCGAAATGTATAAAGGCTTTGATTTTCTTCCATATGCAGAATATTTTTAATGCAGTACTCTAATTTTTTAACAATTTATCTATGTTACTGTGAATGACCGAAATTGTTGACAATCACATAGTCGCTTTGGTGAATGTACGAGAAATATATACTAGATCTAGTTAAGTGTTATTGCCCGGTATACACTTGCTCGGTATTCTCTACTCTGAAGTTTTAGGGCTCAGTGCCACTGCCAAGTTTGCATTTAACCGGTACTCCGAACACTGATGTTTCTTCTAATCTATCCTCAGTAGATATTAAAATATCGAATAAATATAATAATACGAGGGTTGCTATTTATATTTCTGGCCTAATAATGAAAAAACAAACATGTAGGATCGAAATTGGTTTNAATATATCAAATAAATATAATAATATCAACGAATAAATTAATATAAAATTGGATATAATAAATATTTCGGACATTCACCAAAGCGACTAGGTGATTGTTGACATTCACCGGTGAAAGTCGACATTCTCTTGACTTCTTGAGTCATCCACGGTAACATATACATGAGAATAGTTGGACTTCATATTTCAAGGCAGTCTTCTGTTCCCCGGTAAAAGGAAAAAGCTGGTAGTAAAGTCATTTGATATCTAACTTGAGTTAGAAAAAAAAAATAAAGAGCCCTGGTTACCTAGACAAATTAAAAGTAATAATGTATATGTTACGGTGAAACACCAAAATCTGAAGAATGTCGACATTCACCGGTGAATGTCAATATTCACGTAGTCGCTTGGTGTATGTTCGAAATATTTGCTACATACCCTTATTTCTGACTCTCGCCGGTGAATGTCAGCAATCACATAGTCGCTTTGGTGAATGTCCGAAGTATTTGTTATTTCCGATTTGATATTAATTTATTCGTTAATATTATTATATTTAGTTGATATATTTATATTTATTCTATATTTTAATACTTACTGACGATAGATTAGAAGAAACATCAGTGTTTGGAGTATCGGGCAAATATATACCGGGCAATGGCACTTGACCTTAAAAAAACATCAGTGTAGGGTATACCGGGCAGTGGCACTTAACCTTAAAAAATCATCAGTGTGGGGTTAAAATATCGAATAAATGTAATTATATCCACGAATAAATTCATATCAAATCGAATGTAATAAATATTTCGGACATTCACCAAAGCATATCTGTGATTGTCGACATACACCGGTGAAGGTCCGAATGTACAAGGATGTAATGAAATATTCCATCTTTCACCGACGTATGTGGTGTTTGTCGACATTCACCGGTGAAAGTCAACAACCACCGATTTCGGTCCTTCGCCGTGACATATACATATGATTTTTCCATAGGAAGTAAAATAACTGTTAAGAAGTCTTGATAATAACGGGTATGTGTTCGTTGCGGTAACAAGCTATAAATGCAATGGTTTTAATAACAGTTTTTTCTCTTTTTCAGGGTATAAAATAACCGTGATGCTTTTTCTGTTGTTTTTTTTTTTTTTTGAACAAAACCTTCCTTCTTTGCTAATACGTGTTATTATAGGCAGTTCATCAATTTTCGGAAAATGCACAGTGTTGAATTTAATAAATATGTGCAGGGCAAAAGCGTCCTAATTACTTCATTTATGCTTTTATATTTTATTTTACTACCATCGTTGAACACTCAACCCGTTTTATACAGACTATTTTTAAGAGCAATGGTAGTAAAGCCACGTAATTGTAACCGTGGACAGACGACATGCACAACGCCTGATCTAGAACCTCGGTCTTCATACTTCTACCTCTCCATCAACGAGAAGACCTTCATCCATGTCAGATTGAACGTCCACTTTGCTGCGTACACCTGCCGGTTGTTTACTCGATGCCAGAATCGAACACACGATCCCATCTTTCCACCGACGGAATGAGTATGGAGCCTTTAACAACTGTACCACCGGGACACTGGTTCAGAATTAAGCTGTAGTAGGTTATTTTGAATCATATTAAACGAGTAATATTTTTCATTCGTGAATAGCCGCATCTTGTATGTATCATCTTATAAGAGCAAACAGCGGGTAGCGCATCTAGTATGTCAAGAGCAAATACATAATCAATAACGTTAAAAAAATTACCTATATGCTTCCAATGCTCATTATACTTTTTTTTTTCAGATGAAAGAAGCATGGATATATCTGATGAGTTAGTTTGCACAACAAAAACCGTAGTCGTAGTTTCGTCTCTTGGTGCTTTATTTCTACAAATAGCTTTACTGGCTGCATGTGGTACGTGCCTTCTTTTCACAAGAAAAGAAAAACGCGTACGGTACTCAGAAGACGCAGCCTCCACCATAACTGAAACCCTTCCACCCTTCAGTTCAGATGTTCATCATACCAGACTACGGTGATACAGTATTGAACACCTAGGAACATTTTATTCTTCATCTCAGAATGTTTATGCATGAAATCGAATCGATCAAAGTTTTTGAGTTGACTGACTGATGACTTCTGTAAATGCATCATCTTATGGACCCATCTTTCTGCAATTGACAAAACTTCGATCGCCATCTAGGGAAAATGAGAATCTGATTGGTGAAATATATTCTCTCTCGTGTAAAACTCACCAATCATGTTCGCCTTTTTACTTGATGGCATCCGGAGGTGCGTGACGCGCGTGCAGTGGGAACGGTACTTAAGTTAGGATGATGGACGAGCTTGTGTTGCCAATAACTGTGAACAAAATATTTTGAGGTTTTTCATAGATGGAATATCACAAATCGTATCACTGCCTTTATGCATTCCCTATTTTTCAGAAATGTAACTTGCTTGGACTGTGATAGAAATTATTATCATCGTTATTGCCTAACCTTAACCGCCATTTTAACATTTTATTTGGAAGCTTGTGTTTTTATTTTGTATATATGCATAGTTCTGTGGCTATAAAATAGCCATAAATAACTAATACTCGTGTACTTACATTTGTCAAAAAATAATTAATGTATTCATGTTTCTTAATACGTTAGTAAATTTGGAATACTAAGTAACGTAAATGTGTTTCTATTTTATATATAAGTACTTTTTCATGCAGTTAATATACACTAAAAAAATTAGATAAAAAAAATCATTCAAAATTAATGATTTTTTTAATTCATAGTGTAGAGAAAAAATTAAAAAATTTTAACTCCATTATTCAATTATAACAGCGAAACTTTGTATACTAGACTTGTATATGAAGTTTTATGTATAAGGTGTCTATGATATTATATTAAACCTTAATTCCTTATATAAATTATGTCAATTCATCTATGTAATTCACTTGTATTGTATTTAATCTTAATACATTGAATAAACTCCGTTGGTGTACCTAAATGGTGCATGTGACCTGCATTATGCCACCTTGAGTAAACTAAGTCGATGCTTCAGTATGGTTCCTATCGCATGCATTATATTGAATCTTAAAATTTTAAAATACTACGTCGACGTTTTTATATGGTGTATATCACCAATAATGTAATAAATCTTATTACATTATTGACGTGGAAGTGTCCATATAGTGTATATCATCTGTATTATATTTAAATCTTAATACCTTGAGAAAACTGCGTCTGCGTTCCAATGTTTAACTGTTTGCTTTGTACCACGTGATTCTTACTGGTAGTTAACAAGCGAGATTGATAATATTCTAAACATTAATAATTTTTGCCTAAACCATGAAGAAAAAAAAGCCTTTTCGAAAAACATTATAGAGAGGACAGTATTATTAATTTGTTTACTATTATTATTTTCTGAAAAAATGTTTTCTCAAATTTGTTTTCTGCTTATGTTTTTATTGTTTGGACAACTTATTTTCCTTACTATATTTAAATTATTATTTCTAAATAAAATAATTATTAGAGAATAATATATTTTTTTTCAAATGTCGGCTTATTTATTTACATTTCGTCATATTATTTAAGTAGTGGATACATGTATATTTTCAAAAATATTTAATCAGAATCTCAAGCATGAAAAAATGGAAGAGGTTATTATTACATAGTAAAATAATAATAAGAGGAAGAAAAAAAATGGGAAAAACGCGTTTAGTAAGAAATTGCAGGCGTAAAAATATATACTGAAAAGTTTACACTTGAATAAAGAAATACACTTGAATAAAATAAGCACATTTATAATGATTAAAAAACGAAACAAACTTTTAAATGTGGATTGAGTGAATCTAGTCAATGTTTAACATTCATAATCAGAAATATTTGAGATATTCGGAGTCGAGCAACACTCAGTTTTTGCACAATCTAATTCTGAAGGAACAGAACATAGTAAGTTAAATGAAATACTATAAGGAACAAAACAAAGTAAGTTAATTAAATACTATAAGGAACAACAAACAGTCTTTTATAAAATACAATAATAGGCGACTTTGAGCTCTACTTGCTAAAAACGGAATGTAATACGAGTTTTATCTTTTGGGAAATTAAAGACACAAAAACATTAAAATTTGATAACTCTGAAACTGTCTCAAAATTATTTAAACATTAATTTTAAATTCGATTTTAATTTTAAAAAATTTCAATATTCATAAGAAATTTTAAAATTTAATAACTCTAAAACTGTCTCAAAATTTTTTAAACAACTTTTTATTTTCATTTTCTGTTAGTACATGGCTGCAAAAAATTAGTTTTTTGATTAGTTTTTTTTTTCTTTGTAATGGAAAATTTTAAAAACCGTCAATACAAATTATTACTCAAAACGTACTTTGAAATTTTAACTAAGTAAAACGCTCATTTTCAAACCTAGAGTACAAAACGGTTAAAAAAATATGTGATTCAATTGTTATTATTATGATAATTAACTGCTGAAAATTACGTGGCCCAATAATGAAAATCCTTAAAAAAACTACTTAAGTATTTCTTTTCACAAAAGAGAGAGAGATACTAAATTGTCACTTAAAATTTTTACACACGTAATAGTTCTAAAGTAGACAAATCTTATAACAAATGTTTATTAATAGTTTCCATTACAAAATCTTTAAAAAAAATAGCAAAACTGTTTTGCTCGCATTTTTGAACCCTAATATTCACAAGTGAATATTTTAAATAATTAAGAAAAGGTATCTTCTTGTCCTTCTTATTTTCTTTTTTTTTTAGATATTTAAATTTATGAATTTGACATAACAATGGTTCAAAGTATCAAGCATTAAAATAATCCTCTAAATCAAAATATATATCAAGCGTTAAANATTATCTGTTAACATTGTAAATTCAGAATCTCTTCTAATTTTCCAGGTGTAAGAGCATTTTATTTAACTTTGGTTAAGGCGCACCGTGTACAGCTTCATGGTAATAATTGGGGGATTTTTTATTACATTATGACTTCATATTCTACAATTTATTATATCAACAAAAAGCAAAATTTCAAACCAGTAATTCTTAAATAATAGATTTTATAATTTTTCAATAATCACTGCCATTAACTTCAAGTGCCTTGTTTAAAGTTAAACAGAGCAACCCATGCAACTAAGCTTTGAAAGTAAGTCTTAGTCATATAATCTCAGTCATAAATCTTAGTCAAATCTTTGAATCATCTGTACATTGTAGAAATTAAAATTTTAATTATTGTTAAAGCACATCCATAAACAATTTTTTCTCTCTCAAAGTTGTGAATACACTGTTTTTTTTTTAAAATATGTAATCCAATTGAAAGGCTGACATTGAGAGAATTGTATTTTTATATCTGTCACAAATGTATATTTATATTTTCAATATCATGTTAATCAGAATATTTTTAAATAAAATAGCGAAATGTAAATGTGTATGGTTCGTATCTTATTCATTGAAATAGATCAAACCAAATTTTTGAATGATTTCATAAAAATATTGCTTTAGATATCTTTTTAAAAAATTTAATTATTGAACAACAAATTAATATACTAATTAATATTTAAATAACTACTTGAATAATAAATTTTAGCAGGATAATTTAAAAATTGAACAATTCATAATGATACAAAAATAATAATAACAATAAAATAACTAAAAATAAAATAATTAATAATAAAATAATTAATTAAAGTTGAACAATTTAATAATTAAAAACTTAATCATAAATTAAACTCTAAATTATATTTTTTCAATTAATAATTTAATTTAATAACACAAAAATAAATAAAATTATTATTAAAAAATTATTTTAATTTATTATTTTAATATAATTTACAATTCAGTAATTCATATTTTAATAATAAATACTGTAATAATAATTATTTTTTGATAATTGATTTCTTTAAAACTCACAATTTTTTTAAATTATAAATTATTTCAATAATTAATAAAATTATATTTAAAAACTTGAAATGTAATAATTCATTAATTATCAATTTAATATAGTTTACAATTTGGTAATTCATATTTTAATAATTAATACTATAATAATAATTATTTTTTGATAATTGATTTCTTTAAAACTCACGATTTTTTAAATTATAAATTATTTTAATAATTTATTACTTATAAATTTAATATAATTTACAATTTAGTAATTCATACTTTAATAATAATACTATAATAATAATTAATTTTTGATAATTAATTTCTTTTAAATTCATTATTGTATTTCCCCTTTAGAAATAAGTACATGAAAGAAATTACTCTAGATTTTTTTCTCAAAATAGCATTCCTAATAAATCAAGATACAGCCTAAATAATAAATGTAAACATATGCTGTTAATTATGAATTCTTAATCTACTAATTTTGCAAGACAGCAATTTAAAAAACTTTGAAAAATGCCCCTTTTCAAAGTGGGGTTAAACGTTTACACTTAAACTATGTAAACATTAGCAAACACTTCTGTTAAAAAGAAAGAATGTCCACATAATTTTAAATCTATTTTATCAATGTGAAATTATGCAGACATGATTGTAATTATTTTATGCGGAGTGTTGTTTCTTACTTTAGTTTAAAACTTTAAAACATACTCATATTTAATTTTTAAGGAAATAAGCATTGATTGATCGGGAACTTAAAAATTTTTTCCGAAAGGAATTTTTTATTTTGAATCTTAAACTCCCACACAGTATTCATTTTTCATAACCTACTTATATTTTATATTTTATTTCATAACCGTCGTTGAAAAGGTGACCCAATTTTTGATTTTACGACTACTAATGTTCAGCTCTGTAGCCTTGTAATTTTGAACCCAATCCAAAAGACAAGGAAACTCCTTGATCAAGTATTGAGAGAAATTTCCCGTCATCGAGGACTTGATATAACAAACCAGCACTTGCGTTACTTGGAGGGGAAAACCACGAAAACCTCCCATGGTTAACTGGACGGTAAGGGGACTTCTGCCACTGAAGGGGACCATCTGCCACTGAGGATATTTTTACGTCAGTACTGTACGAGCCGGGTTAGGAATTCGTATTGACCAGCTACAGCAGGGAACGATCCCGCGACTCCTCATTGGGAAGCGAGCGCTCTATCCCCTGAGCCACCACGGCACAACCTAATCACGCAAATAAAACACCGTAACGATTAAAATTTCAAGTATTTGTCTGATTTTCAAAATAAACTCTCTGAAAAACATCGCTACGTGATTATCATATCTTATATATTTGTTTAAATTATTTAAAAATAGAAACTGCGCAATTAGAACAAACAGTTATTAAAATAATTGTGCATCAAGTTTTATAAAATCAGAAATAGAGCATCTTACATCATTAAAGATTTAAGAAATAGACCCCGTAAAAACGGTGAAACGGTCAGAAATTATTTTTTTATAGTGGTAGCTAAAATAAGAAAAATCTAGATGTTTTAAATTACTAACAAATGTTTAATTTAAAGGAAATATGTATGGGTGGAAAAATACATCGGAATAACTATGTAATTCTATAATGGTCGTAGGAACGCTGTAGAAGATTGCATGTATGGTATATTATGTGTAATGTATATATTGTATTGCAATCGACAGTAAATTTGTTGTTGAATTCAAATATAGACTCTAAAGTAACTTTTACTCTAAGTTTGATTTGTCAATCTGTTATGATTAATATACTTCTTCGTATTGACTTTTTCGAAAAAAATCTTTTTTTTTTAAAACTTGAATCTGAATTTATGTAAATAATCTTCCTTAAACAGCCGATCCAATTTTTTGGATTTACGACTACTAATGCTCAACTCCGTAGCCTTGTAATTTTGAACCCAGACCAGAAGACTGGGAAACTCCTGGATCAAGCATTGGGAGACATTTGCCTTCGTGGAGGACTTTTTGGAGGAACTAACCCACATTTGCTTTGCATGGAGAGGAAAACCATGAAAACCTCCATGGCAAGGGTACTCCGAACCCACGATCTGTCTACAGATGAGGATATTTTATATCA